ACCGCATTCGAGCATTCGGATGCGTATTTGGACAATGATAATACTGTATTCCGTTTAACTCGATTACGTTCATCGTTCGACGAACAATAAACCGGCCGAATTTATTGTCAAGAGTTTGCGATCGAATTGTGAATAGGATAGGAGCTTGAACGAAATTACAACGGTTCGATGGAAATTATAGTTGGGTATCAAAGGTTTCCTTTTATTTCGCAAATTTAATAAAGCGACGCGGATCATAATGTATTTTTCAATAATAAACAAAACGAATCCAAATACGTACGTGGCAAAAAAAATAATAATAATAATAATTTGAAATGCGCGGATAAATATCTATAAATATCATCTAAAAGAAAAAAGAAAAAGAAAGAAAACTATGAGGAAATGAATAAATAAAAAATACAACGAAATGAAATGTATTCGCGTGGAAACATGGGGATTAGCCAATGGAAAGCCATTTCTTTATAGCGCTTCCAGGGATAATAATTATGAAATTGTATCCGCGTTGTACGTACTGTCATCAGCTTCTTGCTAACTCACGATACATAATAAATCAAAAGCATAAACCCACCAGAAATAACATACGAATCCTTTGCACTCGCAAATTAATTCATAAAATTCTATCTTCTCTCGTTCGAATTTTCTCGATAATTATTTGGAGGAAGGGGGAGATGATCCCGAAGAAAGAAAGTAAACGCGCGAGGTTTATGTTCGTTTCATCGATTCAACTAATTAAATCGTATTTCGGTGTTCGTTGCTTTCGAACAAAGGAATCGAAAGGGGAGGAAAAAATGATTGAAATTACAAAATTAATGATAATAGAATCTAGATCTCGGTGTACGAGAGTTATAAAAAAAAGGCAGGCTGTTTCGATTCGTCCAAGATATTCGACGGTGAATATAGCGAAATTCCATTTTTCCACGAGAGAAAATCGTGAAAACTCTCGATGCGTGACGCCGGTGATCCAACGGTAATTAAACGGCTAACGACACTCGTCAAATTCATCTCCTGCTACTTGCCACCCATCAATTTTTTTTTTTTTTTTATTAAAACGGCCGTATTTATAAAGTGCTCTCTTGCCTTTCCTTCCTATCGCCGATCGATCAACCCTTTCGACGTCCACTCGCCGTCACTTAAAAGGGCAATCGTAAGGAGAATCGCGGTGGAAAGAGTCGAAAAGTGAGGAATATAAGCGAAGAAGGAACGAAAGAGACGCACGCACGGTCGGGAAAAAGGAAAAAAAGGAGAAAACGAAGGCAGAAAATGGAGGGATAAAGGTAAGGGGGTCGTAAGAGGCGCACGTGCCCAGACAGCGCAGCGCGGATGCCACGTTCTTAAAGCGTTAAGTACACGCGCCACTATTTTCTCCTTGGTTCTGGGATTAAAGTCGAAAACAGGGGGGGGGGGGAAGTGCGGAGAAAAGAAAAAGAAAAAGAGAGAGAGAAAAAAGAATGGAATCGGTTAGCGGAGGTGATGGAGGAGGAGAGAAGAGACCTTGAAAAAAAAAAAAGAAAGAGAGAGATCGGATAGAATTTAGCAGGAACAACGCGTAGCCCAGCCATGGCCATGCCATGCCAACGTGAACTCGCTCGTGAAGCTCTTGTGCTCGCTCGCTATATTTTTATTACGGCGTCCAACCGAATAGACTTTAGACCCGGTAGCCCGGAGTTGCTAATTTCCCAAATAACCGAGAACATAACTGGAAGAGCTGATTCAAAACTCTGGACCAACTTTTTAAATGCGCACTAGACGGGAAACGAAAAAATCCTGGTTACCTTTTAACCAGGAACGCGCGTTTCCCTCATAAAAAATACACAGGGGTTCGCGCACAACGTTTTGATTTTCCACGGATTAAATTTATCGTGAACGTTGCCCTCCAAATCCCACAGAGGGTGATTAACCTCATCTCATCGCTTCAAGTATTCGTTTCATACCAAACAGGCCATGGTGCTTCTTTTTTTTATTCTTCCTTTTTTCTTTCTCTCTCTCTCTCTCTCTCAAAACGCAACGACACGTCGAATTTCTTTCTCGTACAGCATTTTCGTACAGCGAATTAAGCGGATGCAATGAACGGTCGATGCTGGGAGAGAGAGAGAGAAAAAGAGTAGAGCAGTACACGCCGATATTAATAAAGCACCAGTGAGTAATGGATTTTTGAAATCTTCATTTCATATTCTCTTCGAGTCGAAATTGGTTCTTTGAAGAGAACCTAATACAAAGTTTTAAACCGAAAAATATGTACGATGTCGATTTTTCGAACGACTGATGCGCAAACTGCGTTTGCATACAACGTATATATACGCGTAAATGTAAATCGATGACAATTTTACACGATAAACACGAATAAAACTTGAAAAGCTACGCTCCCATTTCCAATTAAGAAGTTCCATCGTTCCCAAGAAGGGGAAGGTTTATTACACTCGATCGTCGATAGTTGCGTTCTCGAGTAAAGAGAGTAACACGCGTGGAGAACGATAGCGGCGGCAGCTCCTTCACTTATCCCACAGTCGTACAATTTGCATGATGAGACGGTAAAGCCGGATTGGGCCGGCTCGCCCTGAGAACGGACCCTTCTCCTCCGCTCCCCTCTCCTCCCCCCTGTTTCCGTCCCCCTTCCCAACCACGCTCCAGTTCGCCGTCCGTTTTGTCTCTTTCGTACTCTCTTTCATCATTTCGCAGCATCCCTATCTTCCCCTTTCCCTCCTCTCGCTCTGTAACTTGCAGCCGAACATCCGTTATCTCTCTCCGGAGCACATAGCTTTTCCATAATCTCTCTCAACTATTCTGCCTCCCCGAAGAGATAGAGACAAATATATGTGCTCGCGGTACGGACGAGAAAGTCGTAAAAGAGGGATGGCGGAGGGGTGGCGCGGAGCCACGAGCCACGGAACAACGACAAAATTTTATCGACGCNCGATGCATCGTTCCATCTAGCGTTCCATCCACCACTGCAAGCGATTCCGGTATTGGAAATCGAGAATGAGGGAGAGGAGGAGGTTGTGTTAGGTCGACACCTGGATTAAGTCGACGCGATCGATCTTTCTTCCGCGATAATTACACGCCATTTCTCTAATTATACGATCGCGTACGAAATCAAAGAACGAGGCGGCATCGATATCGGGACTTCAAAATGCTATTCGATTCGAATAACAATTAAACGCGATACGAGTCGAGTAATCTTTTTCTCGTTTTCTCCAATTCCATCTCTCTCTCTCTCTCTCTTTCTCTTTCTCTCTCTCCGGAGCAATAGTCGGCTTTGTCCTATCGCGAAATGCCAGACGAACCACGACCTTCGAAAGTGCGGCGGTGGCCGACGGGTCTCGTAAAAAAAAAAAAAAAAAAAATCGGAAAAGGGGAGAGAGAATAGCATAGAGGGGGTACGAATGGATCGTTGGTTAACGCGATTTCGCGTGTAAAGGTCAGCCCATAAAAGAGTAGAGAGGAAAGGACGTGGAATAATGCATTGGGCATCGAGGATCGGTCAAAGGGAATAAGCACAGGTGGAAAGAAAGAATTGCAGAGCGGTCAGGTAATCGGCCGAATTCCAAAGAAATTCACCGTGGTTCCTAGACGGGCACGGGCCATCGACATGGAGCTCGCGTGCTGGATTAAATTAAGTGGATTACTAAAACGAAAAGGGAGATAGGCGAAAGTAAGGGACGACAAATTCCCTGACGCGCTATCAATGGATATACATGCCCCGTCCAACACGAGGGGGAAAGATATTGGAAATGGCAATCGAGCAACGCGGTATGGAACTGCCACCACCATGCCGACCACCTTTGTTCCTCGCCGTATTACCACGGTAACCCTGAGACTTCGAGTCATGCCGGAATAGACGGATGACACCTCGAAATGCCACTGGTCTGGACGAGTTCTCTCCCGATACCGCGTGCTTTCGTGTTCTCCTTGGCACGCAGGTAGAGGATAATCGTCCCTTAGGGCAACGGAAACAGATGCGCGCCACCCTGTTTCAATAATGGAAACTATCGGGGTTATTTCGCCTCCATCATTTTAACGTTTGGCGCGAGTAAGGGGCAGGTGAAACGACAGATAGATGTTTCACATGTATTTCGTGGATACGAGTAACGACGAATAAAATTGGGAAAGAAATAAAAATGTATCGGTTTCAAATCGTTTCGTGCGAATATTTTTATATACGTTGAAGATGGTAACGTAAAATATCGTCGAGATTCGTGAATTTCGAAAGACACATTAACTTCGCGAATTTAATTCTCGTGATGGTTTAGGACCAAGTTTACCTACTCGAGGTATCTGTTGAAGTAGTTTTCTCGAAGGATTGAGCACGGCTGATAAATTCTCAACAAGCCAAAGTCGGACAACAGTCTTAGTCGTGTTATTCTCAACTCCACTTAAGCTAAGATGGTCAAAGACAATCGCATAAGTTTCTAGCTACCAAAGCGCAAAGGAAAATCGCACGAAAGTTTTTTTTCTTTTCTTCTTTTCTTTTTTTCATCCTAGAAACCATTCTTCTTCGCGTCTATTAAATTCGATCATTGACTGGATTCACGTCGCAAAAAATATTTCAGGAATCGAGGATGCGATTACAACGTACAATTCTCGATGCAACGAACGAGAAGAAGAAAAGATGAACAAAAGACGAAACGAAATAAAGAGAGAGAAAGAGAAGAAAAAACAATGACCCCCAAAATGTCGAAGCCGTCGTCTTGGTCGGTGGCATCATCATCGTTGCGCGTGCATAACTTCGTACTCTCTTGGCTGTGCCAGCAGCCGGCAAGGTATTGATCGGCTGAACCCACGAGGACCACATGGCGACTCCAACTTCGTGCGACTTCGTGCGAGATCGGCACTCCTCGTACCTAACATGGCGCCCGTAGGCGGTCACGTGGTCACCACCCCCTCACCCACACGACTACCACTAAAACAGCGAGCGCACTCGACCACCACAAGGGATATATGCAGTCACCAATTCATCTCTCTCTCTCTCTCTCTCCCCCTTTCTCCGACTGTCGCTCTCATTTTCTCCCTCTTTCCTCCTCTTTCTCTTCCACGCTCTCTCGGTCTCACAGATCTCTGTTATCTTCAAGGGTGGCTTAAATATTTACACGGCCAGGTTCAATGATATTACACCGAAAATTTTGACCGTGTCGCGATAATGAGAAAACTGTCCATTCATTTGTTGCTAGTACCGAGCAACATTGAAAAAACTCACTTTTTCCCTGCTCGAGTATTCAACATTTCTGGATCACGAATCGAATTTCCCCATTTTTCATCCCCGATTTTACGACAACTCCAAGGCAAAAATACCGGTAGTCGTGTCATTCGAAGCATATGGCTCGTTTCTCTTCTCACAAAATGATCCGACAACCAAATAGATCCTCGGCCAATCCGACTTCGTTTTCGGCTCATTTTTCCTCGAAACCGCTGTTCGTTTCGTTTTTCTTTTTCTTTCTTTTTTCTTCCTTTCTTCCCTTCTCCCCTCCTCGCCGGCATCTCTTCTCTACAATTTTCCGGGGAGCGCGTATATAGAAGGTCGGTAGACCGTATACCGGCTGTTTAACGTGTTCACTAACTCTTCCAAGAAGGAAACGAGTCGACTTTTAGCCGACTCCTTCAAAGTTTGGCTTAATTAATGAAACGAAAGGAGGTCTGAATTTTTAACCCTGCCAACTTGCCTCGTAAAATGGCGGCAAGACACCTTAGACGAGCACACCGTCCAACAACGGAATCGTTGGGACGATACTCTTTCTTCGATTAATCCATGGTATTCCGATCGAAAGGAAACGTAAACCTCGTAAGCGCTACATCAAATTTCCACATTTGAACGTGATCCAGTTTCCTTTGAAACGCGATCAACTAAACTCGATATCTGTCTGCATCTTTCGCATCCCCTATCCCCCACTCTCTCCTCTCTCTTCTTTTTTCTTTTCTTTTTTCGCATACCTGCTCTTTCCTCTCAGCAGGAAACCGGGGCATTACAATCCTGTGGGGATGCACACGACCGGTCGATCGTACGTACGTGTGTATCGGACATCTTAAGCCACGATATTAGGAGGATGCGGCTGGTAGAGAAAGAGGAGCTGAACGAGGAAGGGAGAGAGAGAGAGAGAACAGAGGGGAGAAATGCAGACACGGAAGAGAGAGAAGGAAGGAGGAAGGGAGAGAAATGTTTCGGAGAGCCAACGGGTACTCCCGACTCCAAGTATCCTCCGGACACCCTCCATTTGTCCCTACCATTCCCTCCCTTAGCTATCTCACGACTGACGCATCGTCCTGCGACAAAACAGAAGGGAGACGGAGAAAGAGATAGGGAGGAAGAACGAACGATCGATCTTTCTCGGAATGCCAGTCGTACCGGCGACCGATTGAAAAGCTTGTGATTCGTGACTCGAAGAGGGGGGCGAGAAATCGTAGCTCGAAAGGAAGTGAACGGTCAACGACAAAGCTCGGGATACGAAATCGGGAGGGGGGCGCCCCCGATTTTTAAACGGGGCGACGGCTTGACCCGCTCGTTACCAAATATCCCCTAATTCTTTTCGAGCACGTAGAGCGCCCTCGTTTCGGTAAATCGCCGTACAAAAGCCAACCTCTCCACTCTATAAATTCGTATTACGTAGAGAATCGTGGAAAACCTATATATACCAAGAGGTGCAATTTCACGCGAGCTACGTGACACGGGGCGCGTGGGTGGAAGAAGCATCGTGTCAACGGGGGAAAAACACGGCGAAAAGAAGTTGCGGAAGTTGCGCGAGGACGAGGACGTGTCCAAGCCCGAGTCCAAAGTACATTTTAGAAATTATTATTATCGGAGAGAAGAGAGATCGAAAACGAAGGCGACGAGTTTGTTGGAAAATCGTCGTGGGTATAAGAGTTTATCGATCATTTATCGAAGATAACGGAGATGCAAATTAATAATGCCTCGAATATATGTGTATATCAAATTAATAATTTCAACGAAAGGATCGTGTACACACTACCTTGTGACCAGACTACGTGGCGTGGTGACGCATCCTGCGGGATACTCGAGAGACCGATCGATCTCGTCGGATACGAGTCACCGACTGCGGCAATGACCGCCGTTGGGGCAAGGCTTTATTTTTGATTTTTTTTTTTTTCATTATTATTTTCCCCGTTAACGAAATGATCAAACATTTTTTAACACCCAATAATACGCGTCAAAAATTATTAAAAAGAATGAAATAGGCGTGACATAAAATGTCAAGATATCGAATTTGTTTACCGTTGAAAGAAAATAATTGCGGTAATTACTTTTACAACGAACAAACGGGGGGGAAAAAAACTCTAGATTTAGTACCAAACACCGTACACCAGTAATCCAAAAACGATTCTCGATCCTGTCGAAATTAATTAACCCAGTACGCGGTTGCGGTCCCCTGTGGAAATTTCCATGAAATTGGCGAAGGAGTAGTGAAAGCATGGATCGAGCTCAAGCTTTCCGGCTTAATGGAAGAGTTCCATTAATACTTGGTGAAGAATCGTAACGGAAAAATGATTCTCCTATAAATATCGGGAATGTGACCGTAACCGTGTGAAACATGGGTCAACGATGGGCATCGCGATGAAAGTATTCCACTAAAACCGGAAAACTTCTCCTCCCTCCCCCCCTCTTCTCCTTCCAAAAACTCGTCGGAGCTTGTAAGTTTCGGAGCGTTCAGCGGGTGCCGTGAAAGCGCTTCCATTCCCTAATTAACGCACGAAAGCACACGACGAGGGGTAGGTCGGTGGAAGCTAAGTTTAAAGTCGTCCTGGGGATCTTGTGTAATCTGCGAACATTTCCAGGTGAAACGACTACGCTTTCGCGACTTTCGCGAGGAAAAAGTCGGAGAGGAAATAGGAGAGTCCGGGACAGTCCTCTCTTTAACGCTCTTTCTCCACCACCGACGACGCGACCACCAACTCTGAATTCGGATGAAAAAAGAAAAGGAAGAAAAGGAGGAAGGAAATTATATTCCCTTCGTTCGTCTAGAATCTAGAATCGCGAAACGGTAGATCGAAAATTACGATGATAATCGTAATTTTCGCGTATAAACTTTTCCGAGGAAGCGATGGAAAGCTTTTAAAGATCTCAACGATACTCGCTAAAAGAGAGAGAGAGAGAGAGAAAGAAAGAGAGAGTAAAAAGAGGGCCGAGTGAAAAGGAGAAACGGGGAGGAGAAAAGGCGGCGGACAGCGATGGAGGAGGAGGAGGAGGAGGGAGGAGTTGAACCGAGTAGACAGAAGCTCCAAGTTTAGAAACGCAATAGAAAGAGAAACGGGGCGAGGGTGGAAGGAGGACGAGGAGCCACTCGTATTGATCCAGCAGATACGCTCGATTAAACCGCAAATTGCAACGGATTGGCGTAAGTTACAACGTACTAAGACTACTAATACCGTGCGCGGTGGTTTCACGATGCTTCCGGAAGCTGCTGATACCGACGGCATCCGAAAATCAACTGACGTGACTCGAGCTGCGTATGCAACACCGTGTTCCGTGCAAACACGCGTTCTACGTCCATCGCGTTCCATCCACGGCGAAACACAGAGACGGGAGGTTGACGCCAACTTTCAAACTATCGGTTAAACTGGATGGCAACGACGCCAACCGGATTATCCATCACGGTAATTTCATCGGCGGCGATTCAAAGAATCGCGTAATCCCCGGGAAAACCCGGCCAACTAAGAATTCAATTCGAAATTCGATTAAGGACGAGTTTGGGTAAATCCACGAAACCGAAGGAGCGTATCGACCAGCGCTGGTGATATTCGCGACGTGCACCGTGGACGCGCGAAAAGAACGAAGGGACGAACGCGAATCGTACGTCGTTCACCAATTACGTCACGGAAAAATCTCGAGCGAAAATCAACAATGGAGAAAAACCGATGTAATTGAGTTTATGAAACTTGTTCTCGCGAGCGACGAGATGTCACGTACGTTTATATCTCCTCCTCTCCTTTTTCATCTTGATACTATTCTATTTCTCTCTCTCTTTCTCCCTCTCTCTTCTTTCTTCCCCTGCTTATCCCAGGTTATCTCTCACTTTAACCAGATCAGGTCTCACCTTCGTATCGCGGTGGTATCGCGGCGCTAATTCGTCGTCGTCGGTGAATTAATTACACGTCGCTTTAGATACCAAGCTCTGTCTATTTGGTAAAGTGGTATTTACCTTTGCGCTCGATTCAAAACGAACCCGACGATTAGTCAAAGGCATAACTAAATATTCGAGGAGAGTTACCGGTGAAATAAATCCTACTAATTCGTGGGTTAAACGGTCGGAGCTAATGCCCCGTAAATTATCCCTTCTAATGAGAAGAAATTTTTAATGGCCTGTAAAATTGAACACGCCTCGGTCGAGTACCGACCGGAATCCAACCGGAGCTGATTCGATTTGCGAAAATTGATTCTTCTTTCTCGGGCCATCTTTAAGCTTTATAGAAAATCTACGGAGAGATGTGGAGGGTAGGGGGAGAGGGATACACGATGATGCAATTCTTTTCCATTGAATTTCTCTCACCGCGGATATTTTCCGCAGAAACAACAATGCTCTCCCGATGCTCTCCCCCCGCCACGCAACAATCAACTCCATAAACAGCCGATGGAGAAGGGTTGTTTACAGCGTAAACTACACTTTCATGGCAAACCGTATTACGCATAAGAAGAGAATACGCCACGTAAAATCCGCGCTTACAGCAATATTTCGTATATAAAAGGATAGGAAACAAACGTTTTCAAGTAAATACGTGGCAAAGTGTACGCAGATATCATTCCCAAAGATATTCCTTCAAATTTTTCGCACCGCGCGCGTGCGAAAAATCCTCGCGACATCTGTTACGATCGATCGTTGCCCGTATCACTTTTTACTTTATGCTCCAAGAATAAAAATTTGTCGCCCTTTCTTATTTCCTCTTCTTTTTCTTCTTCTTTTAAAAAACGTTGCTCGACAGTTAGATTTGACACGACACGCGCACACGCACATTACGGCCAATTCGAATCTCGCATTAAACCAGACCGTAGACTGCTAATGGCCCTTTTCGTTTCACCCCGTCCGGGTAAGCTTCTCCCCTAGACTACTACGGGTTGTGTGCCACGCTGCTTTCGGACCCAAATTGATTGGACTGTGAATCGTCCGGTTTGAATTATTCATACTTTGTCCGCCGATAAACCAATTTCTGTAGCGACTGAATCGAGGAGGAAAAGATCGGCCACGCGACGCACGAACGACCAACATCGAGGAACAAAGAGCAGGATGGGGGAGCGAGGGCGGAAGTGCAATCGTCCTCGAATCGAAAAAGAATAGAAGAAGCGTATTCGAATTCCGGGAGGATCGCACGGGAGTCAATTAACGTCGAATGACATTTTGGGATGATGTTTAATTTTATCGATCGATCTAACCACATCTCGGAGAAGGAAAATTGACGACATCGCGATTACTTTGCGTTTTTATCGAGCCACGATGATTCAAAGCAACGTAAGGAAACAAAAAGAAAAAGAAAGAGAGTCTCGTTATCGACCAAACCGTTGGATGATATTTTAATTTTTGGGTTTAAAGACACGCGAATAATTAGACACGAGTCGTCAATTACCGATCATCCAATTATCACTGCGACAGTGATAAAACCGATTCCGGTCGCGATGATAAAACGAGAAAAGAAAAGAAGAAAGAAAACGTATTCGATCGAAGAATAAAGAAAACGAAGAAAACGATATTAACGCATCGAAAATTCGCTTTTTAAATACGAGTCGATATACGTCTGTCTGAATAAGTTTGGCGAGGGAGGAGTGCGGTATTAAAGAATCGAGAGCAAGTTTCGAGCCGATAATAAAATCGGCGAGTTAATCGTCCATCCATCGGTGGATGGAGGCGCATTAGACGGGATGGGAGGCGGGTGGAAACGATGCGAGAGAAACTCGATCCAAGTTTCGCGAAGGCAATCGTATTTACGATGATTCCTCATCCCCGGCCGGGGCCGGGGTCGAGTCAACACCCGCGATAAGAGGACACTTTTACTTGCACTCCAACGAAGAAACCGCTCCCGGCAGCCGCGCCGCTTTTGACCTTTTGCTTTGCCCGGATCGAGGCATGGCAAGGGGGATCTTCTCGACAAAAGATTTATGAACCCCTCGGCAATGCCAGTATGCTACTTATTCTATCGTCGAGTATACACTCGAGGTTCACAAAAAATGCGGGGGTGGTATGTACACGCCAACGATCCTCAAAGAGAAATCTTAAAAAAGGAACGACCCTCCTACTATCGAATCAATCATTTCCAGACTCGCGAGCTCCTACACCTCTCTCGCCAATTGTTCGCCGTTATTAATAATGGCGTATTCGCGGGTATTCTTTCGTTCGCTCGATCACAAATAATCCAGACTAATCCAGGGAGCGGGGAGAGGAGGCATATTTGCGAATTTCCCAATTAACCAATTTCCACTCGGCCGTGGACGGCCGAGACATTGCCTCGCTGACAGCTCACTCTCATCCAGCCAAGGTGGAATTACGTAGGTGGACGCGTTCTCTAGTCAATTGACACGATTCCCAGTAATTTTAGCCAGTGGTTAGAACCGAGGTCAGGTTATACGTGCCGGGTCGCGTACGCGATATACACGAAACTAATCATAATGTATCCTCATCGGTCGAGGGGGGAGGCAGTGCTATGATTGGTCCGTTGCGGTATTCCTCGCTGCCAGATAAAGTTACCGTAATATGGATTAACTGCCCGTTATACCTCGTATTCCGATTCGATGCGCGCATTCGGCCGGCATGTAGTAATGAACTCGGTAACCGGCGTTATACCGCACCCCACCGCGCCACGGATTCGCGGTGTCTTTTAATAACGTATCCGCGTGGAAACGATCGCGATATTAGGTATTCCCGAGGCGTATCGTATCGCGCCAATTTTCCCATCGTCCTCGTGAATCCAATCAAATTTCGCCCCCAAATTTATCCCATCGTCTTCGCACGAAAGAGAATAGTTGCAAGCACCGCGAAAGAGAACGAGAATACGATTTTCTCCACGACGCGACGAGATCCCGATTTTGAAACGTCGCGTCTCCGACGGCGCCGAATACCCCACCATCCCCCTCCAGACTTGATTTACGACGTTTGTTTTTCAACCGCGACGCGGATGATCGTCAACGGCACTCTCGTGCCGGTTCGTTTTATCCCGCGACCATTGAAATATATCGTCCATGGTTTTTGCATCGGACCAGGCCAACGATCCGAAAGATAAAAAAACGCATGCGCGTACCGCGGAGGAGAGGAGGGAGAAATTTTTGTTTTTTCGCTTTTTCGTGGCATCGAAACGCGGTTGAAGCGAATTACTCGTACGATGCAACGATGGTAAATAGGATATAATCGGTATATAATTGGCCAATCCGTGTTGCCGTGCCCCTTGAAACCGAGAAAAAATAAGCATTGGCCCCGGATTGCGTGTCCATGGAATCGCAATAAACAGCGGGCGGAAAACGGCTGCATCAGCAGCGGGAACCGTGTCCCTTCGGATGCCCCCCATAACGGCAATATGCATTTCCCGGTGATTACAATTTCGGTTCTGCGGCGTGGTTTTCCCTGTTGTAGAATTAGCAGAAATTCTGACTCAGTGAGCAAAACAGCGCTGTTCCCGCAATGCCAGTGGCGTATTAATAACACGTGCTTCGTGTAATTTCAATTCCTGCCGCACGTTTCGTCGCGGTGCGCTTCGATTCTCCCCGTTATTGGAAAATAATACACGAACGAAATTCATAACGGCCTAATGAGCTTACGTTACGGCCTACCGATGCCGTATCTCTCTATCATTCGTATTATCGATTCGTCTAAAAAGATGCGTTCCCCTTTCGAAACGCGATCCCATCCCCCCACTATATTGTGGATAAAAAATTCGTAGAATAATTCTGTTTCTTTTTCCCGACAACGTTACAACTATTTTTCCAATTCTGTATAATAATAAAAATGTTCTTTGTTCGTTCGATTATATAACTCGCGTGTAATCACAATTTTCGCGAATAAAATGTTCTTAATTGTTCTTAATTGTCGTCACAAGTGTCCATTAAAATTGTCACTGTCACTACGAATCATACCACAGAATGATAATTCAATAACGGAGAACACATGTTATTTATACGCCAAAAGAGAAATAATTGCAGCGATTTTTGTCAATATCGGAAAACAAAAAAAAACAACACATTCGACGAATTTTTTATCCACTAATGTACGTTGAAATGCATCAACATCGAGTCGAAAATATATTTCCTATATGTCCAGTCGAGTTACAACATATTAAAATGTTACTTTCGTCAGTGGTGTCTCTTGCCCTTTATTCTTTACGCGCGTCAAATTCTTTAAAATCCCTTCTGTTTCCTCCGAGAATTTTTCTCCGTTCATTTTTCACTTTTTAACGTTTTAACTCGCCAGACGAGTGTAAAAAGACTTAAACGGAACGTCCGTCCCGTTAACGTTCGATAAACACACGAGCTTCGAAGGCAACTCGCTACAAGTGCAGTCGAGTCAATGCCAAGAGTTCATCGATGCAAAATCGACGGGGAAAAGAAAGGAAAAGAGAGAGGAAAAAAAAAAAAAAAGAAAAAAAAATCTATCTACGCGTCTAATGCATTCTCACGGTTGAAAGATACGGAAGGTAGAAAAACTACTGCACTGGATGGAAGATAGAAGAACGCGGTGAAGCGCGTTCGCCTATCGGTCGACTATCTTCGAGGGCAACGTCACGAAGCTTTTCATACAAGGCGACGCGATGTCTGCACACGCTATGTGTGTCACGGGTGTGCAGACTGGAGTGCGTAAAGACACGCGATGAAACGATGCACTCGATTCAATGCAATTTATATTTCGCTCTTTCTCTCGCCAAAATATCCTCCGAAAGAATGATGGATGCTGAATGTCGGTCGCGAGTATATACCACTGTGAAACACGCGGAGTGCCGTTAAGGTCGAGTACCTCGAATGTAGGACATTTGGTGCTCTTTGTACTCTTTCGTCTTCTTCTTCTTCTTCTTCTTCTTCTCTCGATACGAGCCTTCGCCCTTGACAACGAGCATCGCCATCGCGCAAAAATACTATCCATCATCATTCTTTCCTTCCGAATCGAAAATATCGATCGATGAACACGCGCTCGTCACGCCTTTGTGATTCGACTACGCCTTAATTCGTCACGTTCGAGTTTTCTTTCTTTTTTTTCTTCCGCTTCTTTTTCGCGAAATTAATCGGTAAGATAACGAGGAAAGTAAATCGCGGAAGAAAGAATCGATACGTTCGCGGATCGTAACTGTCGCGTTTTTTTTTTTTTTTTTTTT